AATGGGGACCTGAGCAAAGTGGGGAGTCCCTATAAGTTTTGCAGAACTAGAAATAAACAAATGCGATGGATGGATTAAAAACAACAACCAGTAGGCTGTTGCTTTTGTTTAAAAATTCTGTACTATCGGCTTGACTCTCACCAGAGAATTCTGCATCTGTAGGTGTCAAGGGGCACATGGAATTGCAGGCACAATTTCCAAACTTAGGGTTTTGAAGGTGTGGTCAGAGTTTGAAGCTGGATCCTCCTGGACCATTGGCTCTGCCTGGCCACCTAGTGTCCCCAGGCCTCTGTGACTGGAGTTCCCCCCCAATACCTATTCATGTGGCTCTACCTTGTGCCACATTTGTCAACTCATTCCTTGTAAAACACAGACCAGACTAGAACACTGAGTTACTCATCCCAGGGCTTAGATTGTATCTCTCAGTGACGCCATGTTGGTAATGGCAGTTGTGTCTGAGGCAAAATGGCACCTTGTGTAGCTTATAACAAAATGGCACCTTGTGTAGCTTATAACAACTGCTGGCAAAACTGGCAATATCTCCACAGCTTGTTCTAAGGCAATATTAACACAAGTTAAAGCATATTTTTCTCACCATGTTATTTATCTGAATTAATGTTTCCACTGGCAATCAAACCTTAATTGCCTTTTATTCATTAGCTTTTGATTTAATTAATATGACTTGCTAACGGAGAATCTTCAGTGTTTTTCTGTAAACAGCTCTGATTTATTGATTCAATATGAATTTTGTGTTTATTTAAATCACTGTTTGAATTGCATGTTTTGAGCCTTCATAAAGTAGTTTCAAACTATGAGATAATTAGAAAATATGACCTTTTTTTTTTTTTTTTACTTTTTAAGGGCTAGCATCTTAATTTGATACCCTTAAGAAATGAAATACATGCATAGCTACTACCTCAGAATTTTAAGTACTTAAGATAATAGCACTAAAGTTTTATGTATATGTATGTACAAAAATTACAACATTAGACAATCTTATAATATTGCTATTCTCAAAGATCCTTTTTCAAATGGTTGAGCATGTGATTTAACATTTTTCCTGGAATTTGAAGCTGAAAGAGTCAGCAGTTGCTGAGTGTCCAGACATGCAGAGAAAATCTACTTAAGGAAGAAGAAAGTCAGAGTGACTCAGGTTAAACAGCAGTTTGATGATCAATATGATTGTTAGTGGAAACTGAGTGAAGCCCTTGGAGGAGAGAGATGCTGATTAGAGCTCTGGGCTTGCATTATTAAAGGGTTGTCACTGTTTTGTAATGAATCTGTTGGCTGTGGAAAGGTTAAAATAGTCTACAAATTCTAAAACTTCCACAAAATGAAAACTGTCACCATATGCATAAGAATCAGAGAGACTTCACTTCTAATCTGAGATGAAAAAACCCACTAAAGACAAAGAAAAAATAAATCTTTAAGCCAAACATAATGAAGTTTTATAAAACATTTTGTGTCTCTGAAAATTTCGGAAATAAAGTTTTCTACCTTATTCTAGATATATTTGGCATAAATGAAGGGGACATTAGTTGTATCATATTCATTCTTTAAAATATATATGCTGTGCCAGGAAGGTTCTGGATACAGGGCACACTGCTGTAAATGAAGCAGTCACTATTTCTGGAGTTTATAATGTATAAATTTTAAAGAAATTTTTTGTTTCATATGATATGATATCCAAAATACCAATGTCAGAAACAACTGAAATGATTATAGCCCACAAAAGCCACCAACACTTGGGCTTGGAGAGAGGACTCTGAAGCTGAGAGCACTAAGAGCACTGGCTCTTCCAGAAGACTAAGTTGGATTTTCAGCATCAACAGTGTGGCTCACAGCCATCTGTAGCTCCAGAGGCTTTGACATCTGTCTCTGGTCTCAGGCACCAGACAAAGACATGGTGAACAGACTTACATGCAGATAAAACATACGTGCACATAAAACAAAATAAAATTTAAACAAACAGACACCTTTAACACTTGGAGTTTCAGTTCATGGAAATTGTAGAATAATTCCACAAAGACAGTGCTTGTGTTTGTAGAAAGTAAATCAAGAGGAAGTGTTTTTATTGCCATGGAATGATGTAGATTGGGCTTTGACAGTGCTCAGAGAGATCCTGGCTGTCTTCATCACTGTTCTGTTGCTGTGAAGAGACACCGTGAACAAGGAAACTCATAAGAGACAAAGCATTAAATAGGACTTGCTTACAGTTTCAGAGAGGCCGTCATATTGAGGGCATAGTGGCACTGGAGCAGTTGTTGAGTACATTCTGAGAGAGAGAGAGAGAGAGAGAGAGAGAGAGAGAGAGAGAGAGAGAGAGAGAGAGAGAGAGAGAACAAGAGAGAGAGAGTACAAGAGAGCACTTACATGGGACCAGCATGGGGTTTTGAAACCTCAAAGTCCACTCCCAGTGACACACTTCCCCCAACAAGGCCATGCCTATTCCAATAAGGCCACACCTCCTGATGCTTCTACTCCTTTCAAACAGTTCCACTCCCTGGTGAGTAAGCACTCAAATATAGGAGTCTATGTGGGCCATTCCTACTCAACCACCACATGGACTTTATGTGCCTCTCAGGAATAACTGTTAAGTCAAGTAAAGGATCTGTTGTTTTCAGTGTCCTAAGGACTAGTCTTGTTTTGTGGTTCCAGGGCCTGTTTTGAGTGAGTGGCCTTTAGAAGCTTGAGATCCCATATTCCAGAATTTAGTTCCTGGTACATGTGGTTTAATGCTTCTCAAGGGAAGTGGAAAGCTTTCTGTGAAGAAGGTGGTGTGTGTGTTTTATGTATGAGAGGAAAATGTCTGTAAATGAGGGGAACATTCCAAGGCGTTCCTGGAATCAGTTACTGCCTCCTGTGGGAGCCACTGATGAGCTCAACTGGGCTGAGAAGTCTGTGCAGATGTCAGCTCTGACTGCAGAGCAGCCTCAATCCCTGCCAAAGGCTCCCTTAGTTCTCAGGCACAAAATGAGGAGCCCAGGCTGTGAAGCTGGCTGAACCACACATGCAGGCGTTTGTTGATGCTTGCACCTGGGTACCCAGAGTGCAAACAGGCTTGAAAAAGTCAAGGTGACGATGCACTCAGGAGAGAAGGTTGTGCCTGTCTTGCCAGCTGAGATAAAGACAAAGCATCACGAATCTGACTTCCAGGAGGAAGACTGCACATGGTGAAGCCTATTAGCAAGATGTCCATATTCCATTGCCATCACCAGTAATAGTGGAGTGTCAGTGGGCTCAGGAAGAAATGCCACCTGGCAGTTAGATTGTCATGAGGACTTTGACTTCTGGGTTTCCTTTCTGGGACAGTGTTTTGAACAAACGTAAGTTAGTTAGATATTATGATTTTTAATTTTTTAATTTTTACTTATTTACTTTAAAGACATTAACATTCATATTTCAGACTCAGGATCCTCTGGGTCACATGAGCTTTCCACTTTGGTTACCCTGAAGATTTCTGGTATCAATCACAATTACAATAAGAAACCATGTTGACCTATATTGATAACAGAGGAGACAGGAAAGGAATAGGAGCTGTTGTTGTTGCTATATGAAAGGTAAAATTATTTCTGCTATGTAGTACAAAATTTGAATTTTCATAAAAAATAATAATTCAAGTTGTGTATGTTTTGGCCTTGCAAATCTTTTTTGGGGATTTGTCATTCACATCTTTAAAAAATATGGTTAAAATATATAAGGATATCATTAAATCATTGTAGTAGCACAAAATTGTGAATAAATTAGATGACTATTAGGTGAAGACTAGTATGACATTATGTTATACTTATACAAGATGATGCAGTATACTATGTATCATATGTCAACATTTCTGTATATGGTTTGCTGCACTGTTCAGCTGTATATGTATGCAGTTTATGTGAAATAAACATATACACATATAATTTATATATAAATACAGACAATAGAATATGTTAATGTTGGCTCCAGAGGATTCGAGCTGGCTGGTGAGAGGAGTATGCCAGGGTGGTTTATTTTTTCATTAGTTATTTTTCATACTTTTTACATTTACTGTCTCCTTTAAAATATTTTAATAAACAAGGCAAGTAAATAAAATAGTCCATCAAGCTTAGTAAAAGTAGAAAATAAAGCAATGAAGAGGACCAGAATATATAGTTATACCTCTGATGTTGATAGTAGCAGAATGAATAAAAAGCTATCTCCATAGTGTAATCTAACCTTTGATTAAAGCTGACACACATGCAGAATATGTTTCAAAGAACCATTTGCTTTGGGCATGTCGTTTGTAATTTGTAATAGTATATTCATCAGATTTAAGATGTATTTTATTTTTATTTTTCATGTGCATTGGTATTTTGCCTGTCTGTATGCCTGTGTGAGGGTGTCCGGTCCCCTGGAACAGAAGTTACAGACAGTTGTGAGCTGCCATGTGGGTGCTGGGAATTGAACCCTGGTTCTCTGGAAGAGCAGCCAGTGCTAACTGCTGAGCCATCTCTCCAGCCCCCTATTCATCAAATTTTTGATGATATATCATTATATAAAACATAACCAGATCACAGATAGTTTTCAGAACCTCTTATTTAAAAACTGGGACAGATGCTGTGGGGTGAGAGATGAAGGGAGTGCAGGTGTCAAGTTTCCGTCCTTGGCATTAAATCACCCTATTCTAGAGTGAAAATGCAGCTTGAGAAACTAAGGAAAATGTTCCCGTCACTGCTTTGTTTTAAATTAAATCATTGTCAAGTGCTTTTGTTGAACTCTAGTTTCACTGGAAGGAAAAGACTAAATCACAAAAGTATCAAGTCTTAGCCAACTGCAAGTATATTTACAATATGAATATTTACAATGATCTAGGAATTGCAGCCTTACTGAAATCAATATGGCTGTGGCAGACTATTTGAGTCACTGGCATTCTCAATGCATAATTGTATAGGGCAGAAATTTTAGGTTGCATAATCAGAACCTTAACAGACATAGAGTTCTGCAGTCACTTTCACCTATTCTTTGGTTTCCTGCAGGGTAAACGGGAAGCTGGTGGCTCTAAAGGTGATCAGACTGCAGGAGGAAGAGGGAACGCCTTTCACGGCCATCAGGGAAGGTAGGCACTCTGTGCTGTCTTTGATTCTGTATTTATGTGGTGTTCATAGCATGGTAGGCACACTGCATCTCCAGACATGCTGAGCTTTACAGTTACATTGTTAAATGTCTCATTTGATTGTGTAAACTGAAATTAAAAAAAAAAATCAGTACCTTCTACAATCTTAACAATTCACATTAAACAAGACAAGACCATCTTTCTGTATTCAGATTTGTGGGGGGAAATTCATGGTGGGTTATCTAGGCAACTGGAGAATATTTTTATGTATGATTCTATTTGCAGCACTACTAAAATGCAATCTCAGGATGACATTATTCACAGTTTTTAAAGGAAATTCTTAAAAGTGCAGGATTGTCCTTACCTTGTTCCTCATCTGAAGTTTTTCTTTCTTGGTTCACTTGTTTCTTTTCTTTTCTTTCTTCCTTTTTTTGTTGTTTTAATTCTCCTCTCATATATGACATTCCAATCGTGGTTTCCCCTCCCTTCACTCCTCCCAGTCCCTCTTCCTGACGGATCCTCTCCCCCAGACCCACTCCTCCTCTCTTTCCCTTCAGAAAAGAGCAGGCCTCCCCGGGATATCAGCTGAACACTACATAACAAGTTACCCTAAGACTAGGCACAAACCCTCATGTCAAGGCTGAACAAGGTAAACCAGTAGGAGGAAAAGTGTCACAAGAGCAGGTCAAAGAGTCAGAGTCATCCATACTCCAAATCTTAGGAGAAACACAAGATCACCAAGCTATACAACCATAATGCATATAAATAAAGAAGACCTAGCTCAGAGCCTTACAGGCTCTCTGATTTTTGCTTTAGTCTCTGTAAGCCTCTAGGGGTCCTGATTAGTTGATTTGTGGGCCTTGTTCTCCTTGACCCCTCTGGATCCTACAGTCTTTCCTCCCCCTCTTCCATAGGGTTCCCTGAGTCTGTTCAGTGTTTGTTCTGCATCAGTTCCCATCAGTTGCTAGATGAAGCCTCTGATGATAATTGGGCTTGGCACCAATCTGTGATTATAACAGGCTATCATTAGCAATCATTTCATTGACTGTGTGTGTGTGTGTGTGTGTGTGTGTGTGTGTGTGTGTGTGTAGGGGTGTGCATGTACCCTAGATTTCTGGGCTGTTCAGCCTCTTGTTTCTGGCCATACATGCAGTGTCCTTTTCATGGTACGGGCCTCAAATTGGACCATTCTTTGGTTGGGAACTCCCACAAATTCTACACCACCATTGTTCTTATCCTTAACTTTGCCTTAGTTGATTCATTCCCTTATACATTAGTCCTATGTATGTTGTAATATTCCCCCCCACTGTTATTTTTCTAAATGTTCTCTCATAATGCAGTAGATTCTAAGTATAAGGTTTTGGTCTTGTGAAATAAGGTTGAGCTGTCTTTTGCCTTGTTCATTTATGCATAGGAGGGTTTTTCTTCTGAATGAGAGTCATCTTATTCATGCGAATTTTTCAGTTCGCTGTCATAACTCTTAAGATTAGTAGCTTCACTTCTGTGTCATTTAAAAAGGCAAATTAGGCTGGAGAGATGGCTCAATGATTTAGAGCACTGGCTGTTCTCCCAGAGGATCCAGGATCAATTCCCAGCTCCCACTTGGCAGCTGACAACTGTCTGTAACTCTAGTTCCAGGGTACCCAACACTGTCATACAGATATACGTGCAGGCAAAACAACAATGTACATTAATAAAAAAATTAAAGAAAGAAAAGAAAATAATTTAAAAATGCAAATTATCTTTACCTAAGGCCTCAGTTCATTTTCCCATCAAAGGGAACAGAGCTACATCTTCTGCTGATACAAATGATGTATCAGTGTTTTGGTACCTAGTTTTATGAAGGTATTGACAAATTAAATATACTCTGTCATTATCTGGTTTGTCATTTGATGATGATGATGATGATGATGATGGTGTATCATTTCCTTCTCCTCTTCCTCTTCCTCCTCTTTGTCCTAATTAGAGTTTCTATTGCTTTGATAAAACACCATGACCAAAGATGACTTGGGGAGGACAGGGCTTAGTGTTCTTATACTTCCATATTATAGTTCATCATTTTAGGAGGTGAGGCAAGGAGCTCAAACAGGGCAGGAATGTGGAGGCAATAGCTGATGCTCCTTAATCAGCTGGCTGATTTGCTTTCCTTTACACTCCTCGACCACCTGCCTGGGGTCTTGGTCCTTCCCACCTCAGTCATCAATCAATAAAATGTACCACACACTTGCCTGTAGACCAGTTCGGTAGGGGCATTTTCTCAGTTGAGAATCCCTTTTCCATAACGACTCTAGCTAGTGTCAGGTTGACCTAAAACTAGCCAGCACACTCTTGTACTTCTATTTTCTCATCTCATTCTTCCCTACATTCAGTTTGACTTTTTTTTCATTATTATTTAGCTGAAACCTTTAGAAAATGTACCCATTACCTCTTTATTATGTACCAAATTTTTACTTTTATGGTTTCTTTTTTTTTTTTTTGGTCCAATCTCTTAGCAGTTTGCACACGGTTAAAACATCTCTTCTGCAACATTAGAGACTCCAGGCACATTGGTTTTTCTCTTTGCTTTGTGATACCCTTTAGGTTTGTAGGACTTAAGGAGAGAAAAAAAGCTGTCTTTCCTCTAATGCACACCATTCCTGGGCAATTTCATTCATTTCCTAAGTTGAAAAAGCATTTATATGCTCCTAGCTTCCATACATGTATTTATTTAGTTAAGGCCTTGTCTTTGTGTCCATTTCATACGTATATCTGTCTACATTGGACTTCTCTTTCTCTAAGAAAGATAAGATATCCTTGGGTGATGGTGGCGCATGCCTTTAATCCTAGCACTTTGGAGGAAGAGGCAGGTGGATCTCTGTGAATTTGAGTCCAGCCTGGTCTATAGAGCTAGTTTCAGGATAGACAGAGCTGTTACACCGAGAAACCCTGTCTCAAAAAACAAAACAAAACAACAACAAAAAAAGAAAGAAAGAAGAAAGAAAAGAAAAGAAGAATAAGATATCACCACCAAGTAAGGTTGGTGTAACAAATCAGCTAAAACTTATATCCAAGCATAATGTGATGGTCCAACATATCCATGCACTATTCTCTGTACACGAGTAACAACAAAGTCCAGCACTGCCTACCCAAATTAGTCAAATGTATTCTGTTGGTTACATCTCTGAAAGGTATCTTCTGTCTGTCCACAGCTGATATGAATCCCCTCACTGTACCCCAGGAATCAACAATTCTTCCTTGGATTGCTGCAGTAACTTTTACAATATACTCTCTCCTTTGTCATCCTTATTGTTTCTTCTTTACTTTAAAATTATTATAATCTAAAATTGTAACCCATGTTTTATTAGTACCCCCTTTAAAAACCTCTACCTAGTACTCAGGCTGTTTTTTTTTTTCTTTCAACTATTCCACAGTGTCCCATTTTAGGGCCCTCACATACACTCTGCCACTGTCTAGCTCTTCATTGGCGCTTTGAGGTACCAGCTATAAACTCATGTGTCCTTTTCTCAGAGAAATTTCCTGTAGCCACCCTGACTAGAGTAGTAGCTAGCTAATATCTTACCCATCTTTATGCAGTTCACCATGCCAGTATCCCTGTTCATTTCCATTACAGTTCTTACTGGGATGTGAAATGTTCTCCCTCCCCCTCTGTTCATATGTAGAATTTTAATGAGGTTAGTGACCTTGTCTGGCACCCTCCCTGTAACAGCTACTGAATGACTTACAGAGCATCATTAAGCTAAAGTCGGTAAATAAGATGGAGTATTGGTTACAGATGGTGCTCTTGCGGAATCTGTCATCCAGGTGGCAGGCAGAAGATTGAAATAATAAGTCAAAGAATAACACACCATGTCATATAAATGCCAAATCATTTCTGAAGTATTGTGAATTCTCAGAAAAGTTCTCCACTAGTGAAGTATGCTAAGATTTGGGCTGGACCTTGAGCTAGAAATCAAATGATAAACTATGGAGACAAGATGGAGAAGTCGCTTTCCAGATGGGCCCAGAAAATGAGCAGAGTTCAAAACTCAGTGCCTTTGCCCAGTGTAAGGAGCGGGGATGATTTTCATTAGGTGGTCTCAATTAGTGCCTGGTCATGTGACAGCAGGTGGGTATTGTCTGGTTTGTACATGTTGAGTTCTGAGTTCATGAGACATCTATGAAAATACCTAATGATGAAGAAATGGAGAGCACAGCAGTTGAATAAAAACAGCATATTTAGCAAGACCCTTAAAATCATAGAATCTTCAGTTTTATTTTGATAAATTTAGAACAGAGATTTATTTGGGATAATACTCTGGAAGATGTAAAGCGTAAAAAGCATGGCCATGGCACCTGAGGGTACAGAAGGCATCAGTAGAGGGCAGAGGAAAAATAAGAACAAACATATAAGCAAGTCCAGTGTTTTTGAGGCCAAGAACTTTCCATGCAAATGAGAGGTTGACTGCTAGTTAAGGTAACCTATAGAGAGTGGAGTTTTGGAGTCTGGAATTCTGGGTCTTGACTGTGTCTTTGTCTTTCATTACTATACACTATAAGACAAACCGCTGAGAAGGCTGCCAGTCTTCTTTGACAGCCTGCCTTAGATAGTGCAGAAGTAGTTATTACCTCATAGTTTTGGAGGCTGAAATATACAGAAGTAGTTATTACCTCATAGTTTTGGAGGCTGTAATGCCAAAGCCAAGATACCTTGACACCCTTTCTTACAGCTGAGAGAGATGATCTGTCATGAGGTCCCTCTTTGGTTCATACATAGGTGTCTTGTCCCTGTGTCTCTGGGTTATTATTCTGTGCTTTGCTTATACAAAGGTCTTCTTTCTCTAGGGACACTGGTCATACTGAATTAGAGCTTACTCTGAGGACCTCATTTTAACTTAGTCACTTCCATGAAGACTCACAGCCTAAAGTACTGGGGTCAGGACTTCAGTTTACAACTTTGCTGTTGTTAGGGAAGGGCACAGTTCAGCCCGTAATACCACTTAATAGTTTGGAGCCCTAGAAACCTT